CACACCCAGCACGGACACACACATGTGTGCACAGATTGCCTGTGCTGGTGCAAAAATCTGTTGTGTTTCTGCCTGGCTCCTGACCTCCTCCATCCTCAGCCCGGTCCAGCGATGGAAGATGTCCTGTTCTCCCTCCTCATCCCTTCCTCCTGGAGTCACACATCCCTTGCTGGTTGGGGCAGCTCTGCACGGCCTCAGCCAGCTGGGGATGGCTCTGCTCTGCACAAAGGAAGGGGCAGGACAAGGGAGCAGAGGCAAGCTTGTCTCCAGGGCCACAGTCTCCTCTCCAGGCATGGAGATGTATTTCCACTGCAGAGGCAGAGCTCATCTCATCCATGTCCCCATGTCCATGGGGAAGCAGAGGGGTGGAGGGACCGGGAGCTGTTGGCTTGTGGGAAGTACCAAGGAGCACAGTGCAGGATGTTCTGCTTGCTGATGGTCCATACCATGCCAGGCTAAACAGGAACTTGGCACTTGCAGCATGGCACCACGGAGGGGGATGGTGATGGAGCGCTTGCCCATAGAGTGTTGGCTTGTCCTTGGGTGCAGAGTGTGGAGAGAGGGAGTGATGGGAGCGGCGAGAGCTGGGTGATGCTGTGGAGCCTTGCCAGATGTTTGTGGCTGTTCATTTTAGGGCATCCAATCCCTGGGTTTTTGGGTGCCAGTGAGCTGTGTTGAACCCTTTATGCTCACAGCTCAGCAGAAGCTCCTGGACCCTGGAGGCAGAAAATATGTTCCCAGAATGGAACAGGAAAGCTGGTGGCCAAGCACAGCACCAGATAGGGGCTTGGTGGCAGGGCATGTGGCTTGGCACAGGAGGGGACAGTCTGTGGGGCTGGCATGGCCTGGGCAGTGTGTGGGCACGGAGAAGAGGTACCCGTGGTGGGGGCAGTGGTGCAGGGGTGCAGCAGTGCAGGGGTGCAGCGGTGCANAGCTCCGGGTGTCGGAGCCGGGCTGGGGGGAGCGTGGAGGGGGGATTAGCACTTGTGTGCTCAGTGCAGGCTTTGGACAGACTTGTGAGCCGTGGCTCCGAGCCACGCAATCAGCGGCTGGGAGCGAGGAGAGGCTGGACTTTGGTGCCCATTGCCGAAGCGGCGCTGCCTCCCGTGGAACGGGGCCAGCAGGCTGTGGGAATCACAGGGAGCACAGGCTTGTTCAAGCAGTTGCTTAAATTTGCGGCGCTTTATAACCTCTCTCATTAAGGCTTGTTTTTTTTTGGTGGGGATGGCTGAATTCTGTCGGATTTTGCATGCCACTGTCCTCCGAGAGCTTCCCAGTCATGCATTAAGCAGCGTGACTAACGCCTCTCTCATGTGGTTCAGTCTCTCTCACACACTCCCCGTAGGGAGAATTGTGTGTGCGGAGGAATAGTTGTTTTGGGAGGGGCTTTTATTTTTAAGTGCTCTGTGCTTTGCCAGCAGGTTGGAAAAAGGTGCCTGGCACCAGAGAAGAAAGTGTGGGATGGTCCTTAGATCCCATGGGAAAATAGCCTGGTGCCTTGGACTGGCCCCTGGGAAGCCTGTGTCTCCTGCACAGACGTGCTTGTGGAGGCTTCCTCCTCCTCCTCCTCCTCCTCACGCCCAGCTCTGGGCTCTCACGTCTTCACCGTGTCATTCACACCCCTGGGTGCCTGGGTGCCAAGCAGGATTCCTGACCCTGCTGATTCCATATCCTGCCCAGCCCTGGGCCCCTTGTGCCATCCAGCCCCTCAGGCTGTCAGGCCCTTTCCTCCTCGCAGCTCCCTGCTCTGCAGGGTGCCTTCCCTCACCTGCAGGAATGGCGCTGGGGATCAGACTCCAGCCCTGGTTTTGGAGCAGAAATCCTGGGTGCTGGGCACCTTTGGGTGACACCCTTCCTCCTCCAGGCTGGCACAGGGTTCCTGGCATTTCCAGCTGCTGGGCCCTCCCTCAGCCGTGTGAGGCACCAGCATTGCCTTGAGACTTTCCCCTTTCCTGGCGATCTTTCACCTCGCACCAGGGCTTAGTCAGGATATGGCTACGTCACCAGCACCAGGCCCAGCCCAGTGCAAACAGCCCAGCAGCGGGCACGGTGCCTCTCCCAGGCCGGGCATCCTCCAGGAGCCCTTTCCCAGCAGCTGGAGCTGCCCATGTTCCCTGTCCTCACTTACAGGAGCGCAGGGCTGGCAGACCTCGGGGCAGGTTCACCCCATGGAGGCAGCTGGGTGAGGGGGTCTGGTGTGAGCACACCCGGGGGGTGGCAGACACGAGC